ATCATACTTCTAGATTATTTTCTGCAGCATAAATATTTCGTAATTCTATTTCAGATCCTGGCTCTATTCACTCTTGCGTTTCTACTGCATCGGCGCTTTCTCATTCGGCTCTTGTTGGGCAACTTACTTATGATGGCCAAATCCAGGCGTCGACTTCTCCGAGCTTGTATCCGGTTGGTCTGTTTGCAGGCCAGCCCGGTGCTCAGCCTACCACGCAAATAATCACGGGTGGATCCACTTCTGGGGTACCACTGCTTGCGAATCCTGTTTCTGTCACTGGCCCTCATGGTTATTATGCTCTAGCATCTCCATCTCACGGAATAATGACCTCGGCAAATATTTCAGATGCTCCCCAGCTTGCAATTTCGCCTTTAGCTGTCAATTCAAATGGGACTTTTAACACAAATAATAGTGCTGCTATAGCTGGGAATCAGATCGTCGTTACATGTAGTAATTCTCTAGGTCCTTGGTCTCAGCAGACAGCCGCTTCTAGTGGTGTCTCTATTCAAGCTCAACATCTGTCTCAAAATCCGTTCCAGGGTAAATTTCCAAATCCAGCCCTTCTAAGCAACGTTGGGGGTTCAACGCCAGCTGGCTATCCGCCTTCTCACCAATATCACGCATTTGCATTAACTCAACCAGCAGCATCTGGTTCCTACGCTGGTGCCCCACCGCAACATTTGCTGCAACCTAGTGCTCCGGCTCATATTCTAAGCTTTGTTGGCCATCCGGTATCACCTCCTGGTCATCAACCTCATCTTCTTCAGCCAATGCCGCCTGCTCTTCCACTCCATACCCAACATCATCAGACTCATCTTCCACATCCAGGTCACCTTCAGCATCAATTACCTCATATTTCCCATCAGTCCCCACCAATGGGGTCCGGACAAAGTTCCCACTCGAATGTTGCTACTAATCCTTTTAGCGCTGTAGTCGCTGCCATGACTGCAATGACGGTTGCCACCCAGCAGCAGCAGCAGCAGTTATCATCTCCATCCCCCATCTACCACCAACAATCTCAAAATCACCCTACTCTCGCCTCTCATCCGGGCCACCCTTCACCAGGCACACCTCTTGGTCAACACCCTCATCACACTCTTCTTTCAGCCACATTTCAGCAGCAAAATCCGCATGCAGCAGCAGTGGCAGCAGCCGCCTTTTACCATGCGGCTGTAGTTCAGCAACAAAAACAGCAACAGCAACATTACCAGTCCCACCCACACCAACCTCTTCTTCCAAGTGGCCAAGGAACTCTCCTCCCCGGCCAACCCGGGGTTTCTCAAGCCTCTAATCTGCCTCCTTTCTTTGCCGCCTGTGTGCCTCCACCCCAACCTTCCCTAGCTTCTGTTTTACACCAATCCACAAATCAGTCTACTTTGCCTTCATCTTTCCACCAGGGTAGGGGCTGTGTCAACAGCGGCCATAGTCACTCGCAACGCACCCAACATCACCATCACCACCACCAGCAACAACAGCAACTAGATTTATTTAATGCGTCATGCCAAGTGGGATCTAGCACCAGCAATCTACATAATATTGCTTCTCAACCCCCGACTACTAGTTCTGGGCAAGGATCAGTTTGTGCAGTCTGGCCAGAGAATTCTACCGCATCTGTGGAGGTTATTTCTCCCGTCACTTGTATGCAAGCTTCCAGCTTTGCCCAGTTACCCGTTCAATCACCCAATATGCTTACCCAAAACCAGCAAAATACCCCTATTTCCGCTCCGGGTGAATCTTGTGGTGTTATTGCCAACGTGGGCTCTACGGGCTCTACGGGCTCCACGCCTAGTATTAGTGTTGGTAGCGCTAGCACTGGGTATAGTAGCGGTGGGTCAACTTCTTCTGCTTCTAGAATGGCAGTTTCAGTTCCCGCTTCCCCTTCTGCTAGCAACACAATCGCTCCTGTACACATCTCAGCTATCGGCAGTGATAATCCCTCTCGGCATAGCGGGTCTATTGGAATCTCTGGAGCCGGTTCTACGAATAAACATATTAAAGATCGTAAGGTCTCACAGCCTTTAGAACGTCCTCCTCTTCACTCATCAAACTTTTTGAGCCTCGAAGCCGATTGTTTAACTGACATCGCTGAGCCTACATCGACGTCTAATGCTCCTTCGGGTTCATCAACCTGTTCAACGACTCCGCCTCCATCTAAGTCTGGGGATGATAAATGTACTAGGCGATCGGCTCATCGCCCCACTCCAGTATTTTCTTCTCTTTCCAACAACAAATCTACTCTGTATGTTTCTGGTAAAAACAGCGAGAGGGATCACTTAGACGACGCGGTATTCTTCCACGATGCGTCCTCTGGATGCAAATCCACTAATGATCTAACTGCTCGGGATAATGACGAAAATGAGACCGCAGCTTCCGTTCTCCAAGCTTCTGAGGGCCTTTTGATTAGTTCGGTTGCAACTAACATTAACCACGAGGAGGTAAATCGAGCCCTAGAAGGGATATCCGATGATGTTTCGTCCACTTCGGTAAAGCACGCGGAATCTGCCAAAAGAACGCTCGGTACATTAAGTGGCGACAAGTCGTTTGCCCACTCTCCCTCCTGTCGGCAGAATGAACAAAATCTATCGATTAATTCAGGCACCCAAAAGCAAAATGTCGCACAGACTGGGATCAAGTCGTCTGATACAATTTCAAGCTCGGTCGACCCTGTTATCCCTCAGAGTTCTACAATTTCCGCCTCGCGCGTTGAGGTATGCGCTGAAGACGCTCCTAGATTCTGATTTTCCATTTGCCTTTCAATTAGTTTTTATTTATTATCGTGTGCCCCTGAAAAACTTTCGTTCTGCCATGCTGGAAACAATAAGTGGCAACCTAAACGCATTATTACCATTCATAAAATTGGGAAGCAATGTACAGTACTCATTGTGATGAGGTCTTTTTGTCCAAAAAGCCAATTATTCACTTTCAGATGACAACGAAGTGTATATAATTTCCCGTCCTTGCTCGTTTGAGTATGAATCTGCTTGTACTTGTGTGCTTGAAGGAGGGTTTTATTTGCCGCTTTCCTAAGTTTAGCAATGTTTACATTTTGAAATTGATAAAAAAAAAATATGAAAGAGTTGCAAACTTGTCTTCTTGTCCCCTGCATCTTTATCGGCTTGCTCCTTTCTTCCATTCGTTGCCCTCCGTTGGCTCCGAAAATTACTTATCTGCTCTCCGATCGGCGCATGCTAGGCGCAATGGACGCAACTTTTATTGCTATGGTCGCCTGACTTTCATGTTGACTTTGGAGTGTGATGTTGCATGTGTATCTTTATGCCTATGCTTGAACAATTTAGTTTTTGTTCGATTCACTTAGATTTTATTCGCGATCTCTTATCATCATAGTGATTTTTCCTAGTGCATAAGATTTGCTTTCATTTTCAGGTGCTGTGATATGTTTTTTCAACGCTTGCGGCGGAGCCATTACCATCATTTACTTCCCACTATCTTTTATTCTTGTAAATTCGTTGCAAAATTTCAATCTTTTTCCGCCCGAATTCCAAAGAATGTTGAATTCTCCTTTTAGCACATACTTTCTTCTCATGCTGTGTCATGTAGATCGGTCTTTTTTCCTTACCGCCCTATTCGTTTTCATTCTTTTCTGCGATATTCACTTTAGGCAAATTTGTACATATTGATTTCCCTTTCATAGGTACTATTGTTACGTTGCACTCAATGATGCCGATAAGGCTACCATCCACAATTTTCGGTGCCTTTAGCCATTTTCTTTTTCGGAAATGTGATCAGATCCAAAATTCTAGTCATAACTTTGTATATCAGTCTTCGTTCATACTTTGGCCTACCGAAATGGTTTTCTTAATCTTTTAGTCTCTCAGTCCTTACGAATCCAGAGTACATTCGATTATTTTTCCTGTTTTCAACTCTTCTCTAGTTTAGCCGTTTTGAAACTCGCATCCTTGCTGCACCTTTTATCAATTATTCCGTATTGTTATCGACAACAAGCGCCTGCGTGTGTTGCGTACTTTGAAGGCTATACGCTCACTTATTTTACCAGCTTCTCGACTGGTATTCCTGAATGATGTATCTTTTCCCATCGACCACTGAACCTCCATTGCCTTGTCCCAAATTCTACCTCAAACTTATGTATTCTACTCTTCTCGTTGTTCCTCTTAATTCTTCACATTTTCTACAACCTCACGCATATGCCCATATGTATTTGCAGACACAGCTTTTTTGGGGCGTCACGATTGTTCAAGTGTCCAGTGAACTTGTATCGGAGACCTACTTAGCCTTCTTGTGAGACAACTTGATGTATACTCTTCGAGGCTGAATCGCGATCCGCCTTGTTCTCCATCATCAGCTCGCTACCCATCTTACTAATTTCGTCTCGAGAAGCACTGATCACATACCTACTGATTACCACTTCCGTATGCTTTTGCAAATTGCGTTGCTTACACGTAAAACGTTCAAAAAGTTAGGATGCCACCATCTTTATTTGCCCAAAAGCATAAAATGTCAACAAAATATAACGACAAAAAACGACTCAATAATTGGATTCGTACTGGTTTCCGGCATATCCTGTACATCCAACCGAGTTTCGGGGCTTTCCCAAGACCTGACAGACTCCGGAACAACGATGGGCCAAAATGCGCTTGGTTGCGAGGATGCTTGTTTCATTTTGAAATGTTTTAACACTAAATTCAAGACTTGTTTGTTTGTCCGTTGACTGCTATGCTTGCCCTCAGATTGCCATTTTTCGTAAAATTCCTGTTTTATCTTAATTGCTTTGCTTGTGAAAATGAGGTGATCCACCAGTTAAAAATTAAAAAAATGGCCCATGCATTTCTTTTTATTCAAAATCATCGCCTGTTCAACTCGCAAAAAAATTATATCTTCACAGTTCCTTGGCTGTGCTGCTGGATATGATCCTTCTTCTTTAAGATCCCAGTATTCTTGGGCAGTTCATTTGTTATAGAGCCACTAAATTCCCGCCATGCTCCTTTCCTTTATATGTAAATATGGCAGCAACGGATATTTTAGGGATTTCAGCAAGTGTTCTCCCAAAATTTTGTGGACAGCACTAAGAGGACATATTCGCGCTTTCAGTCATCTTATTGAGGCTAGTTTCCTCAAGTTTCCCAACAAAAGTGTGTTTATGCAAGTAGTGACTTAAATTCCTCCCCAAAAGGGTATCATTGCTGAAAAAGAAGAGATCTCTCTACACAGAAATGCACATGCAAAAGGCGTGTTGCTATCTTTCCTCTTCGGCGATGAGGGGCATCGTTTCCTCACTTCCATCCTAGACGCTTTTATTGGGATTTTAGCACGCAACGTCAGTGATTTGATCTATTGGTCGGCTGAACAGAAACCCTTAAGTATGACTAAGACTCCATATTAATTCACAATCTAACAAGAAAATATGCCCTATGATTAAACTGATATAAAAAACAGAGGTCAGAGTAAATTCTTCATTTGAGTGATTCCAGACATCGTATAACACTTAGTGTTTCATTAACTCTGTCTATTCCTTATTTCACATTGCTCATCATTAGACACTTCTTACTTTATCTATAATAGTTGTTTTTAAGACTCGATTTTGACAGTGCGGCTCGACCAGCATTAATTTTCATTTCGTTCTTACTTTAAAACTCGTTTGCCTTGTAGACCAGACAGTTTTTGCCTCACGTTTATGGTTGGGTCAGTTAAATAATCTCTTCACCTGACCCTCTTACCAGCATTTCAAGGGTTGTAATCCGGTTAATTTGGATCTAGGATATGTCGGAAGGGCGAGAGACATGGTGTGAACGCACTTACAGAAGTAGGATGAGATGAACTATATCTGCCAGAGCTGGCATTCTCTTAACCTCATCATGGTCAAATGTTTGCTGCAGTCAAGTTTAGACTCACTGATAAGTTACACACCAACCAATTGCAAACACGCTTATAACATGCCCTCATTTTCCTTGTTTTGATATTTACGCCATCGCACGAATCACTAGCTCAAAGGAGATATTGTTAAAACCCACAAGCTTTAGGTTTATGAGAGTAAATTCAGCCCTTGTGGCTTGAGTATTAACCTTTCCAAATTCACACAATACCGCCA